GCCCCCAGGGGGCTGGTGGGGGGGAAGGGAAAGAGGCTGAAGAATGCGGCATTTGAGGGTTTGTGGGTACAAGACCAAACCCTAAACCCTAAACCCTAAACCCTAAAGTGCAGCAGCAAACCCTCGAGCCGGGTTCATGAGACTCACGCGCCATGCCCCTACAAACCCCAGCAGCAAGTGGGGGAAGCAGCAGCCGGGGCCCCAGTGCTGCTGCAGTGCTGCAGCAGGGCCTTGGTGCTGCCTGGGGCTTCTGCTGATGCTGTTGCTGCAGTTGGGAGTGCAGGGGAACGCAGGAAGTATCGAGCTGCTGCTGCTGCTGTGCTGCTGCTGCTGCTGCTGCTGCAGCAAACCAACCGCGCACGTGTCTCGCGCAGCCTCTGCTGCACACCTCAACGACTACAGCTTTGTGCTGCTGCTGGCGCTGAAGAAACGCAGAGGGGCTCCAGGAGTGGTGGGGGCCCTTCAGGGGCAGCAGGGGGGCCCCTCTATTAGGGGCCCCTGCTGCTGCTGCTGCTGCTGCAGCGTCAGTGAGGCTGCTGCAAAAGGGGTTTTCTAATTAAAGGCTCGAAGGCCTGGCATAAGATAGAGGCGAAAGCGCTAAGGACCCCTTTTGGGGAGTTTCCCGAGGCAGCAGGCTGCAATTCCCAGCAGCTGCTGCTGTTTAAGGCAATGCTGGGCGCCGCTTTCCTGCTTCTTCTGTGCCCTTCCGGGCTCTAGAAGCTCAAATTCGGATTCAAATTCAAATTCAAATGCATTTCAGTAAGTTGTTTCAGCATGGAACTCGTCAAAAAGCATGAGATCGCGCCGTTGGCGTGGGGTGTATGTGCAAGTTTTGCAACAGTGCACCGTACCGCTGCCTGCAGAAGTTTTTTCATTTTCTTCTTTTGTTCTTTTAATTTAAATTAATATTTTTGAGTCATTAAAGCACTGTCGAGCAGCAGAAGTCCAAAAGACAGCTCGTCGACGGCCAGAGGCAGCTTCCCCCCCCTTGCATATCGCCACGAGTCGCTGCAGCGCGGAAAGCTGGAGGATCTCGGTTTTTTCCCGATTTTTGTTTAGATTATATGATAAATACTGTCATTTCGGATTCATGTATCTAAATTTCGGAGCCGCAAGCGGCAGAAACAGCCGCGAAAACCGAACCCGACATCCGAAACTTGAATAGCCAGCAGTGGTGCTGGTAAGTAACCCAGCGTGCAGTGCAGCTTGCTGCGTTTCTCTCTCCATTTTTAGGAAACAAAATAATTAATTGTCTAAATTTGAACAAAATTGAACTAAAAGACTTTCTAGTATTCTAGGAATGGACTGCAGACCCCCGAAATCCACTTTTGCAAGAAGAGGAAATACCAGCAACGGGAAACGCCGAGTCCAGAGGGCACGCCAGAGCGCGCCAGGGTTTGGGGTTTAGCGCCTAGGGTTTAGCGTTTAGCGCCTAGGGTGTAGGGTTTAGGGTTCAGAGCCTAGGGTTTAGGGATTGGGCTCAATCTGCTGGTTTGAAGGGAGCCGCTGGCAGTGCAAAGGCGTCGCCTCGAGGCCCTCCATGTTCCCTTTATTGCTGCCCCACTCAGGGGTAATAATGAGGGTTTAGGGTTTAGGGTTCAGGGTTTTCTTTGGCTTTACTCCAGCTGCTTCGTCCTTATGATCTCGCGAAAGGTAATTGCCTTTTCCAGCAAGACCTCCACTGCCATCTGCGGCCGCACATGCATTTCGGGGCTGCATGCGCGCATGCATGCACGCAAGCCTAAGCCCTAAACCCTATACCCTAAACCCTAAACCCTAGCTCTTCGGAGTCGTGCAGCCGCGCGTTTACCTCGAACAGCTCTGGGGCCGGCACTGAGCCAGTCGACTCAATCGAAACTGAAAGAAGCAAAAAAGAAAAAAAGGAAAAAAGGAAAAAAGAAAAAAGAAATAATAAAACAAAAAGGAGAATAAGAAATGAATAAAACAAAAAGGAAGAAAGAAAAAGAAAATGAAAATGAAAAATGAGAAATGAAACAGCACAAAACGCCCCAGTGCACAAAAAGGAACGAAATCTGCATGCAACTGGGGCTTTTCTGTACAACTAAATGAACTAAGCCCTGAATCCTAAACCCCAAACCCTAGAAAACCCTAAACCCCCAAAACCTCTAAACCCTAAACCCTAAACCCTCGAATCAGCTACAGCTGCGAGCCCCACAAATGAACTGGTCCGGGATCTTGTTGAGTTGCAACTGATTTTCAAAACGCTCCAAACATGCACGACAAGTCGTGCAATTTCGAGGGAACTTCGCGTAGGCACGGCCAGCTGCACAACAGCCAAAAGGACTTAGCCAAAAAAGGTGAATTTGCAAAAAAAAGGACTTAGCCAAAAAACGCGAATTTGCAAAGAAAAAAGAATTCAGCTGAAAAACAGAAATTGCAAAGAAATGGACTTGGCCAAAAAAATTGAAATTGCAAAGAAAAGGACCTAGCAAAAGAAATGGGAATTGCAATACTAATTAAAGCACTTAGCCAAGAAACAGAAGTTGCCAATTTAAGGACTTCGTCAAAAAACAGATATTCCAAATAAAAGGACTTAGCCAAAAAACAGAACTTTGCAAACCAGAAATTTCACGAACTTGCAAGTTAAAGGACTTGGCCAAAAAACATCAATTTGCCAATTGAAGGACTTCGGGAAATAAAGGGAATGTGCAAATTAAAGGACTTCGCCAAAAAACGGGAAATTGCAATTTAAAGGACTTAACCAAAAAACACGAATTTACCAACTAAAAAACATTCAGGAAAAAACGGGGATTAGCAAGTTAGAGAATTTTAGCAACCCTAAACCCTAAACCCTAAACCCTAAACCCTAAACGTTGCGACTTACTGGAATCTTCAATATCGAAAACCCCCATGGGACATAACTCCTTCAGCTCTTTCGCCTCTTCGCCTTCTATTGGGCTTGTGAAGACTGCAGGAGAAAAGCCGGAAAATGGTGTCTGAGGTGTACAGACACCTCAGCTGTTGCCGCGGTGTACAGACACCTCAGCTGCTGCTGAGGTCTACAGACACCTCAGCGGCGCCCGCCCGACCCGAATCTTTCTTTTGCTTCCGCATTATTAAAAGAATAAATTTGAATATACTTATTTTATTTTATTTTATTTTTCCTCTTTAAACCTACCAAACTCAGGCTCCAGTCTGTACACCGCAGTCGCCACCGGCGACCATTTCGCATGCGTCTTTCCCAGCCCCTTCTCTAAGAAGCCGAACAGTTCAATTTCCTGAAAAAGAATAAACTAATAAATAAATAACTAAACAAATAATTCAATTATTAAATTAACTAGTTAATTAACTAATTGTCCAGTTAATTAATTGATAATCAGCTAGCTACACAGACCAACGCAGCTAGCTAGACTTGAGCGCAGCCGCTTGGCTATGTAGACAGCCACAGCTAGCTAGCTAGCTAACTAGCTAGCTAGCTAGCTGGCTAGCTACTTAGATGGTGTGCCAGCTTGCTATCTACCTAGCTAGCTGTATAGCTGTCCGGTTAGCTAGCTAGTTAGCTGGCTAGCTAACTAGCTGGCTTTTTGGCTGATTAGCTAGCTAGCTAGCTCCCTGATGAGCTAGCTAGCACTCCACCACGAGCGCATGCATGCATGCAAACAAAGCCCCAAAAATGCGGCACCCACATGCATGCAAGCATGCGAACAAAGCCCACCCATGCATGCATGCAAAGCCCATGCATGCATATATGCAAAGCTCACGCACGCATGCATGCATGCATGCATGCATGCACGCATGCATGCATTCGGAGAAAGCCCCACCTGGCCTGGCCTGAGTTTTGTAATTAAGATGTCGGGGTGTACTGGGGCGGGAGGGTCTTGCGCAAATTTTTGCTTTTGTCTCTCCGACATTGGAATCCACTTCAAGTCCCGCGCGTATACTGCAGCAAACCCTAAACCCTAAACCCTAAACCCTAAACCCTAGGTCCTGGACCCCTGCGCGGCGCTGCTTCTCAAAACGAGCTCAGTCCCCTGTCCGACAGTCTCCCCGTAACCGCAACCCCTAAACCCTAAACCCTCAACCCTCAACCCTAAACCCTAAACCCTGAACCCTAAACCCTCAACCCTCAACCCTAAACCCTAAACCCTGAACCCTAAACCCTACCCCGTAAACCCCAAACCCTAAACCCTAAACCCTAAACCCTAGGCTTGCCCGGCATGGACTTTTGGTGGGGTTTGAGGTCGCCTGGAGAGCACTTGACGTGCATTTTGAACTTGAGAGAGTTTTCTTCAGAAAGCTCTTGATTAGGGTTTCGGAATTTCAACTTTTTAGGGTTTACTTTGAAGGGAATTAAACCCAGCCGGTGCGCCAGCACCTCGTCCTGCACCACGCCTGTGTTCTGCCATATCTGAGCACGCGCCCAAACCCTAAACCCTAAACCCTAAACCCTAAACCCTATGCCCTAAACCCTATGCCCTAAGCTTTCAACCCTAAAACCGCAACCCTTGACCGCAGGCGCTAAAAGTTCGACCCTGAGCGCTAAATCCTAAACCCTTAAGCCTCAATTTTAGCCCTAAACCCTAAACCCTAAACCCTAAGCGCTAATGTCTAAACCCTGAACCCGAGGCCCCGTGTCATCCACAGCCACCGCGGGTCCGCAAACAAGTACCCGCACTACCCAAACCCTAGCTCCTAGGGTTTAGGGTTTAGGGTTTAGGGTTTAGGGTTTGCCTGTATGGTCTCGAGGGCCGCAGTGGGGACTTCGCTGATGAGGATGCGGCGAAGGGCGTTGGCGAGGGAGGCGTCGCAACCCTTGAGTTCCAAAACCACGATTTGGGGTTTGCATTCCAGAATTTTGATCTTCAAATTCTTTTCAAAAGTCCCCAAATCAAAAACCTCCGTCTCGTGAGAAACCACAGGACTTTCCCGGGGCCCCTCGAGGGTACACTGCACGCGGTTGGGGAGCCCGTGGGGGCCCCTGGGGGCCCCCTTCCCCGCGGGCATTGCCGAGGGTTTAGGGTTTAGGGTTTAGGGTTTAGGGTTTGGGGTTTAGCGTTTCGGCGCGCAGCCCCGGAAACCGAGCGCGCGAGGCCCAGCAGACTGCTCGCTGCAGGGCCTTGGCCTTCGAAGCCACGACCTAGGGTTTGGGGTTTAGGGTTTAGGGTTTGCGGTACGCGTCCAAAGCTAGAGCCAGAGCAGACGCCGCGTTGAGCGCTCAGCCGTAAACCCTAAATTCAAACCCTAAGCCCTAAACCCTAAACCCTAAACCCTAAACTCTAGAGCCTCAGGAGGGCTACAGAAGCACTGCTCGCTGGCCTCGCCGGAGGGAAGGAAAGGAAATGCAGCTTCAAACAAAACAAAAAGTAATTTTAAAATTATTTCATTTTATTTATTTAATTTAATTAATTCAGAAGAGTCAAATTAATATCAACCACGAAAAAGCTGAGGGCTCACGCCGTCCGTCGATTGCTGTGGGGCCCCGGACGACCCTAAACCCTAAACCCTAAACCCTAAGCACCACATTGTAGGCTCTAGACCCTAAACCCCAAACACTGGACCCTAAACCCTAAATCCTAAACCCTCAACACTGAAATTTTAAGCCTGAGCCTAAATGCTACGACATCGTCAGGCCCCAAACCCTAAACCCTAAGCCCTAGCTTTCGTCTCAGCCTCAAATCTAGGACCATGAACTCCGCAACAAGAGATCAAATGAGATAAAATTGAAAAATTTAACAATAAATAAATAAATAAATTAAATTTATAAAATCAAATTATTCAAATATTAACCTCGCCAGCCGCCATCGAGCGGCGAGGCCGGGGCGTACGTACACCGCAACGGCTAGCCTTCCACTCATTTCCAATTCGTATTTTAAATACTTTTGTTTCACCATTTCAATCTGTTTTTCAATAAGAGCCTCCAAACCCTAAACCCTAAGCCCTAAACCCTAAACGACGAAGCGCTATTTCAAAACCCCAAACGCAAACCCTAAACCCTAGGCAGCCGTAAAGAAAGACAAGTTTCGCCTCTAGCTGCTGCCTAAGCCCTAAACCCTTGCAAAATAAAGCAGCAGCAGCAGCAGCTGCTGCTGCTGCTGCGGCTGCGGCGAGTGCCACTGCTGCAGCAGCAACAGCAGCCCCCGCTTCATCAGCAGCAGCAGTAGCCAGTCTCGCTGCTGCATCACTTGCAGCAGCGGCAGCAGCTGCAGCAACTTGCTGCTGCTGCAGCAGCAGCAACTTGCTGCTGCTGCTCTTTTTGTGTGCTCTTCCCGCTGCTGCTGCGTCTCTCCTTCTTTTGAACTTCCTTGACGCTCCTTCGCGTCTTTCACACTTCTGTTCATTGTTTAGAGCCCAGTGTTCCCTGATGCTGTTCCCTGCTGCTCTTGCTGCTGCTGCTGCCGCTGCTGCTGCTGTCCCATTCTTCTTTCGCTTCTGCAGCTGCTTTCGCTGGGTGCAGCAGCAGCAGCAGCTGCTGCTCCTGCCTTCGCTGCAGCAGCAGCAGCAGCTGCTGCTGCTGCTCCTGCTTTGCAGCTACTGCTGCTGCTGCTGCTGCTGCTGCAGGAGGTCACTCACTCCCACTCGACGGTGGGGGAGGCTTGGAGGTGCAGTCGTAGAGGACTCTGCCGACCCCGCGGACTGCGTTGGTGATTTCGCTGCTGGCAGCCTCCAGCAGCAGCAGCGGCTGCTGCTTTGCTGCTGCTGCTGCTGCTGCTGCTTTGCTGCTGCTGCTGCTGCTTTGTTGCTGGTGCTGCTGCTGCAGGTCACTCCCACTCAATGGTGGCGGGGGGCTTGGAGGTGCAGTCGTAGAGGACTCTGCCGATTCCGCGGACAGTGTTGGTGATTTCGCTGCTGGCAGCATCCAGCAGCAGCAGCGGCAGTTTAAACCAATCTGCTGTCATGAAGTCTTCCGAAGCAACAGCCCGCAGCACGCAGCAGCACTCGTACCGCCGCCCGTCCCCCATCACCCCCACGGACAAACACTCCGGCAGCAGCACCGCAAACGCCTGCAGCAAAAACAGCTCCGGGGGTTTACGGGGGTTTACGGGGGTTTATGAGATTTCGTGGGGGGTTGTGGGGGTTTAGGGGGTTTTATGAGGGTCTATGGGGGTCTATGAGGGTTTACGGGGGTTTACGGGGGCTTGGGGGGTTTAGGAGGGTCTATGGGGGTTTACGGGGGTTTATGAGGGTTCATGGGGGTTTGTGAGGGTTTACAGGGGTTTAGGGGGGTTTATGAGGGTTCACAGCCCTTTGTGCCAAAAAAGCTGTACCAACATGATGAGGGTTTACGAGGGTTTGCTAAGTTTCGCTAGGGTTTGTTAGGGTTTATTCGTGCTTGCTCGGCTTTTTAGGGTTTGCAGCAGAGCAGCTGCCGCTGCTGCTGCTGCTGCAGCAACTGCTGCAGCAGCTCCTGCAGCCCCTTCTGCAGCCCCTGCTGCAGCTCCTGCTGCACAGCTGCTGCAGCAGCCGCCGCTGCTGCTGCCGCTGCTGCTGCTGCTGCTGCTGCTTACCTGCGCGATTTGGTTGTAGAGTCCGGCCTGTCGAATGTGTTTGATGAAAATGCTGTCGACTTGCTGCAGCAGCAAAACCCTCTCCCGTGTCACTTCGCCCAAAATGCGAACTGCCAGTCCAGGGCCCGGAAAAGGGTGCCGCAGAATCCGATCTTCCGGCAGCCCCAAAGCCCGCCCCATTTCCCGCACTTCGTCTGCGCAAACACGCTGCTGCTGCTGCTGCTGCAGCTGCTGCTGCAGCTGCTGCTGCTGCTGGTGTGCGGGGGCCGCTGAAGCGGCAGGTGACCGGCGGGTACGCAGCGGCGGGCAGCGGCGAAACAGCTGCAGCGGCGGAGGCGAAACAGCGGCAGAAGCAGCAACACAGCAGCAGCAGTAGCAGCAGCAGCAGCAGCAGCAGCAGCGCACCTTTGAACAAATCCCTCAAAGGCTCCAAAACCTCCAACTGCATTTTCTCAGGAAGACCTCCAACGTTGTGGTGAGTCTTTATTGTTTGAGAAGGCCCTTTGAAAGAAACAGACTCTATCACGTCCGGGTACAAAGTCCCCTGAACGCAAACCCTAAACCCTAAACCCTAAACCCTAAACCGTACACCCTAAACTCTAAACCCGGAGGACGGTTTGAGAAGGTCCTTTGAAAGAAACTGACTCCATCACTTCCAGGTACAAAGTGCCCTGGCCCGCAAACAAAAATCCTAAACCCTAAACCCTAAACCCTAAACCCGGAAGCCGGAAGCCGACGCCCGAAGTCATGGCCTGGAGCTGGAAATCCTAAACCCTGAACCCTAAGCCCTACAGACGGAGCCCTGGTCGTAAAGCCTGAACCTAAACCCTAAACCCTAAACCCCAAACCCTAAACCCCAAACCCTAGTGGCCAATCCAGCGCGGCGGTTGGGCTAGAGGGGTTCCCTGGGGCAATTAATTACCTGCAGGAGCAAAGTGCCCTTGGTGGGGATTTTCTTTTTTTGAACTGATTCTTCGAAAACTTCGATAAACAAAGCTCCGATTATTTTTCTTTTCTGTTCAGGATCTTTAACTCCTTTCAAAGCAGCAAAAAACCTCTCGCTGGCGTCGATACACTCGATCGACAAGTCGGGAAAACACGCGCGCAGCGACTCCATTGTTTCCGCCGCTTCGTTTTTCCTGACGCAAAAACACAGAAGCAATTGATTAAATTAATTGAATTAATTAAATCAATTAAGTCAATTAAATTAACTAAATTAAATTAATTAAATTAAACTACTGGGTCAACTGATTATTTCAAGTGGACGCAATTGCAGAAAAGCTGAAATGCGTTTCGGGTGTATGCGCAGCTTTGGGGTGTATGCGCAGTTTAGGGTGTCTGCGCAGCTTTCGGCGGCGCGCGATCCGGGGGTCAATTGGGCTCGTTTTTTCGCGAATTTTGTGAAATACAGGTCGGAAAAGAAGAAAATAATGCAAATAAAGTTGAAAATTGCGAAAAGCATTTGAAAAGAGGGGCGCGGACCTGAGGAGCCCGGTGTCGATGAAGAACCCGTGGAACCTGTTGCCGATGGCCCTGTGCAGCAGCGCAGCAGCAACTGTGGAGTCGACACCCCCCGACAAAGCCCCAATGACTTCGCGGCCCCTCACTTGCTGCTGCAGCAGCTCAATTTGCTGCGGCAGGAAGCTCTGCATGCCCCACTGCAGCGGCAGCCGCGCCACGCGCTGCGCAAAGTTGCGCAGCAGCTGCGCCCCACAGGAGGTGTGCGTCACTTCGGGGTGGAACTGCAGGGTGTACAGACCCCTTGCGGGAGCTGCAGCAGCAACAATGGGGCAGTTTGCTGTTGACGCCAACGTCTGCAGCAGCAGCAAACTTGCACACAAAGACTCTCCTTTCCCCAGTTGCTGCAGCAGATTGAACCTCCTTTCAGCGGATTGCTGCAGCACGTTAAACCTCCTTTCAGCGAATTGCTGCAGCAGATTAAGCCTCTTTTCAGCGAATTGCTGCAGCAGGTTAAACCGAATTGCTGCAGCAAATCAAACACCTTTTTAATTAATTGCCGCAGCAAATCAAATATCTTTTCAATTAACTGCTGCGGCAAATCATTTGTGTCTGCATGCATGCACTGCTGCATCCTGAGCCGCCCCAGGTGTACGTACACCCCAGAGCAGGTGTACGTACACCTCAGAGCTGCTGGCAGCAATGCCGGGAAGCCGCAAAAGCGGGAAACACCAATTTAGGGTTTAAAGCAGCAGCAAAAGGACTTAAATTGAGCGAAATGGAGTGAAAAGGAGTTAAAACGACTTGTTGAATGTTGAAAAAGACTCACTGTGAAGCCAGGAGGCAAACTCTGCACTGTGTCTCCGTGGCTCATCCAGACTGTCACTTGGGGCCCCTCAATTCCATAGAAAAGGTCTGCAAGAAAAGGTGTGGGGCCGTGGGCCGCGGGGACTGACCAGTGGTCCGCTGCTGCTGCTGCTGCTGCGTCTGCTGCTGCTGCTGCGGCCTCCGCAGCAGCAGCAGCAGCAGCAGCGTCCAGCACGGGCTCCGCAGGCAAAGGACTCAGTGTTATTTCTGTCTTGCCGTACTCCCGGGGCCCCTCGCCAGCCACAGAGCCCCCCAGCTGCTGCACTATTTCTTGCATGCCGTAGCAAATGCCCAGAATGGGAATTTGCTGCTGCTGCAGCAGCTGCCACACTTCCCGCCGCAGGTGGGGGGCCCCCTCTTCGTACACGGAGGAGGGGCCCCCGCTCAGGACCACTGCAGCGGGACGCGCTGCAGCCACTTCCTGCAGCAGCAGCAAGCCCCCAGACGCAGCTTGCAAGAACTTGAACTTTGAAACTTTTCAACTTAAATGCCTTTCTTCTGAAAGGCAGTTAAGGAACTCCAGGGAAAATACTCACCTCCAGAGTTGCTGTGCACGACAGGAGCTCCGCGTACACCCCAACGGCGCGCAGGCGCCGGATGATCAGCCGCGACACCTGAGAGCCGAAGTCGAAGACCAGCACCATGTGGCGTGCAGGCCGCCGCCTTCCGCCGGAAAGCTCGCTTTCTCTGGAATAAACTGTCATTTTTGAAACTATTTCGCGCAGAAAGGCGCAAAAAGGAAAAAAAATGACCCCGGATCTGTTCAGGAAGCACACACGCAGACCACCAGCTGTCTAGACACCCGAAACGCGCACCCCGGAAGCCGCGCGATCTGAGCCGATTCGTCGAGTTTTCAGTTCAAATAAAAACGATTTGAACTCCAATTGTGTTGCGTTTCACTTTTATTTAATGTCAAGAGGCGAAGGAGGTCTGAAGACGCAGTCAGATGGACCCTCTCACCCCTGCGGGTTCTTTTCTTGTTCAATGTGGGGGGCCTCGGCCGCCGGAGAAAGCCACAAATATTCAGATTTGACTTTGCAAATGCTCAACAAACTCGAAAGTTGATTCATTTAAATCTTTAAATTCAAATTTAAACCGAAGAAACAGACCCGCTACAGAATCGATGCCGTGAGGCTTCCGCTGTCCTGCATGCACTCGGCCTCTCGCAGACTGCAGCGCAGCAACTGCGCGAAAAGCTTTAAAATTTAATGAAACCAACAAAATTAAATACATTTTACTTTTTAAAAATAATAAATTAATTCAAAATTAAATTCTTTTCCCGAAGGAACTCCTTCATACTCTGCTGCGCCCAAGCCCGATGTCCAGACCTGGGTGGCTTGCTTTCTTTGCTCGTTTGTTTATTCTTCCTTCCAAAAGTAATTTTTTTCATTTTTTGAACCTAATTTCTCATTTAATTTTAATTTAAGTCCAATTTGCTTCTCTAAGACCCCAGATCTCTCTCCAACTCTAAAATTCCAGTATATAATCACAAGCAGCAGTAGCAGTAGCGGCAGCAGGAGCAGTAGCAGCAGCGCGAGCCTATTTGCAAAAATAAAGCGATTCCAAAACTCCAAAAATGCATAATAGTATTTTTGAGTTTATATGAATTCCAAAAAGCCCAAACTATCTACACATTTTGGACTCTGGCGCATGCACATTAATTTGCATGCACACCAACTGCAAAATATGCATATGCATATATAAACAATAAAAATACATATATATAATAAATAAATATATTTCTATTTAAATATATTTTACAAATATAAATATATTCATTTTTATTTTTTTTATAATTACATTTTCCTCTTCACAAACGCCTCAAATCTCATTCGGTGTCCATACACTGCATTTTCCACTGCATGCATTTGCAGCAAAAGACCCCACAGACCCAAAAACACCCACAACACCCCCGGGGGCCCTAACAAACTCTAAGAGGGGCCCCTGGGCCCCCTGGGCCCCCTGGGGCCCCTAGGGCCCCTGGGGCCCCCTGGGGCCCCCAGGGACTCTGGGACCCCTGAGGCCCTTGGGGCCCCTGGGGCCCCCGGGGCCCCTGGGGCCCCTGGGGCCCCTACGGCTCCAGGGGCCGTTGGGGGCCCCCCGGGGTTCTGGTAATTAGTAAAGTAAAGAACCCTTAGGATGTTTTGGGCTGCTGGGGGCCCCTCAAGACCCACAGAGGGTTAGGAGGCGCTATGGGGGGAGGGTCTTGATGCTGCTTCAGCAGCAGCAGCAGCAGCAGCCGCAACAGCAGCAGCAGCAGCAGCAGGGGAGTTGGTATTGTTATTCACAGAGAAAAGTTGTTGAAAAATAAAAACTGAAAAAACTAAACTGCTGCTTGCTGATGTCGATACACCCCAGGTCTGAGGCTGAGGAATCGAAGTTGAGTTTAATTAAAAATTAAACGAATTAAAATAATTAAAATAATTAAAATAATTAAAAAGAATAAAGCAATTAAAGTAATTAAAATATTTAAAAGGAATAAAAGAGTTGAAAGGAAAAGTAGCTCAGAGAATGGCAAAAATGAAATAAACACTGAGGGCCCAAAGCCGACGGCGAGAGAGCAGCCGCTGCCGCCAGCAGCAGCTGCAGCAGCAACTGCAGCAGCAACTGCAGCAGCAGCAGCTGCAGCAGCTGCAGCAGCAGCAGCTGCAGCAGCTGCAGCAGCACGAGAGGAAGCAGAAGAAGCACAAGCGAAAGATCTAGAAAGGAGACTGGCAAAGGCGGCACTCAGCTTCGCGCGAAACCCTAAGCCGCCAGGAGGCACACTCGAAATCGAACTTGCCAGCAGCAGCTGCAGCAGCAGCAGCAGCAGCTGTTGCTGCTGCAGCAACAAGTACTCTAGAAGGGAGACTGGCAGATGGGACACTTGGCCTTTCTGGAGACCCTGAACTATCTATAGTTACACTCAAAGTGAAACCTGCCACCACCACCACCACCACAACCACCACCACCATCTCAAGCTGCTGCTGCTGCTGCTGCAGCAACTCCTTCAGCAGCAGCACCAGCAGCTAGTAAGCAAGAAGGATGACTGGCAGAGAAGACCCTTGGTCTCTCTGGAGACGCGGAACCACCTGTAGATACACTCCGAGTGGAACTTGTAGCGGCAAGTGCGGCACGTCTCTCGGGGAAGCTGTTGCTGCTGCTGCTGCTGCTGCTGCTGCTGCTGCAGCAGAGCTAGAAGGGAGACTGGCAAAGGGGGCACTTGGCCTTTCTGGAGACGCGGAACCACCTGTAGATACACTCCGAGTGGAACTTGTAGCGGCAAGTGCGGCACGTCTCTCGGGGAAGCTGTTGCTGCTGCTGCTGCTGCTGCTGCTGCTGCTGCTGCTGCTGCTGCTGCTGCAGAGCTAGAAGGGAGACTGGCAAAGGGGGCACTTGGCCTTTCTGGAGACGCGGAACCACCTGTAGATACACTCCGAGTGGAACTTGTAGCGGCAAGTGCGGCACGTCTCTCGGGGAAGCTGTTGCTGCTGCTGCTGCTGCTGCTGCTGCTGCTGCTGCTGCTGCTGCTGCAGAGCTAGAAGGGAGACTGGCAAAGGGGGCACTTGGCCTTTCTGGAGACGCGGAACCACCTGTAGATACACTCCGAGTGGAACTTGTAGCGGCAAGTGCGGCACGTCTCTCGGGGAAGCTGTTGCTGCTGCTGCTGCTGCTGCTGCTGCTGCTGCTGCAGAGCTAGAAGGGAGACTGGCAAAGGGGGCACTTGGCCTTTCTGGAGACGCGGAACCACCTGTAGATACACTCCGAGTGGAACTTGTAGCGGCAAGTGCGGCACGTCTCTCGGGGAAGCTGTTGCTGCTGCTGCTGCTGCTGCTGCTGCTGCTGCTGCTGCTGCTGCTGCAGAGCTAGAAGGGAGACTGGCAAAGGGGGCACTTGGCCTTTCTGGAGACGCGGAACCACCTGTAGATACACTCCGAGTGGAACTTGTAGCGGCAAGTGCGGCACGTCTCTCGGGGAAGCTGTTGCTGCTGCTGCTGCTGCTGCTGCTGCTGCAGCAGAGCTAGAAGGGAGACTGGCAAAGGGGGCACTTGGCCTTTCTGGAGACGCGGAACCACCTGTAGATACACTCCGAGTGGAACTTGTAGCGGCAAGTGCGGCACGTCTCTCGGGGAAGCTGTTGCTGCTGCTGCTGCTGCTGCTGCTGCTGCTGCTGCTGCTGCTGCAGCAGAGCTAGAAGGGAGACTGGCAAAGGGGGCACTTGGCCTTTCTGGAGACGCGGAACCACCTGTAGATACACTCCGAGTGGAACTTGTAGCGGCAAGTGCGGCACGTCTCTCGGGGAAGCTGTTGCTGCTGCTGCTGCTGCTGCTGCTGCTGCTGCTGCAGAGCTAGAAGGGAGACTGGCAAAGGGGGCACTTGGCCTTTCTGGAGACGCGGAACCACCTGTAGATACACTCCGAGTGGAACTTGTAGCGGCAAGTGCGGCACGTCTCTCGGGGAAGCTGTTGCTGCTGCTGCTGCTGCTGCTGCTGCTGCAGCAGAGCTAGAAGGGAGACTGGCAAAGGGGGCACTTGGCCTTTCTGGAGACGCGGAACCACCTGTAGATACACTCCGAGTGGAACTTGTAGCGGCAAGTGCGGCACGTCTCTCGGGGAAGCTGTTGCTGCTGCTGCTGCTGCTGCTGCTGCTGCTGCTGCTGCTGCTGCTGCTGCTGCAGAGCTAGAAGGGAGACTGGCAAAGGGGGCACTTGGCCTTTCTGGAGACGCGGAACCACCTGTAGATACACTCCGAGTGGAACTTGTAGCGGCAAGTGCGGCACGTCTCTCGGGGAAGCTGTTGCTGCTGCTGCTGCTGCTGCTGCTGCTGCTGCTGCTGCTGCTGCAGAGCTAGAAGGGAGACTGGCAAAGGGGGCACTTGGCCTTTCTGGAGACGCGGAACCACCTGTAGATACACTCCGAGTGGAACTTGTAGCGGCAAGTGCGGCACTTCTTTCGGGGAAGAGTTCTTTGCTGCGGGTGCAGCAAAGAAAGACAAATGGGACACTCTTCGGGCTTTTCGAAGAAGCAAGACACGTTTGCTGCCAGTAAACTGACTCCTGCTGCAGCACAAGTGCGCCCCATGTGCGCAGCAGCTGACACGCACCACCCGCTCAGACGCCCCTTCGGCACGCCTGCAGCAGCAACGCAAATGCAGCACATTATTATTATTATTATTCTCATTATTATTTTTATTATCATTGTTATTATTCTTAATTTTTATAATTAGAATAAACGGGATGGTAATACTGGGAATTAAAAGGGGAAGTGGTGAGGTGGGAGGCAAACGCAGAAGCAAAAGCGCAGGCAGAGCTGCTGCAGCAAGCGCAGCAGCGGCAGCATTGCAGCAGCACCAACAGTAGCACTGCAGCAGCAATGCAGCAGCATCAGCACTGCAGCAGCAGCAGCATTGCAACAGCATTGCAACAGCATCAACATTGCAGCAGCAGCAGCAGCATTGCAGCAGCAGCAGCAGCATTGCAGCAGCAGCATTGCAGCAGCAGCAGCAGCATTGCAGCAGCAGCAGCAGCACTGCAGCAGCAGCAGCAGCAGCAGCAGCGGACCGCTTTGGGAGTGGTCGAGGATGATGAGTTTGGGTCTTTGGAGGGGGAAAGCCTTTTCGAAAAGAAGAGCAACTTTGAGAGAAGTTTTTGCTTTTTCGTTTTTCAAAGAAATTAAAATTCGCCGCAAACGACTTTCGTAGCTGCAGCAGCAAATGCTGCGCTGCCCAACCAAAGACACGCAGCGCCGGTGCTCCTCTTCGATGAACCTGCAGCAGCAGCAGCAGCAGCAGCAGCAAGACAATTCTCAATTAGAAATAATTATTGGTTTTAAATAATCATTAATTAATCATAAATTATTAACCATTAAATAATTAACATTTTGTAATCAATTCAGGAGTTATGGCTTCTTTGCTGGGAAAGCGACGCGCAGCAGGGGGTGACTGAATAAGGAATTGTATGCTGCAGCAGCAGCAGCAGCAGCAACAGCTGCTGCTGCTGCTGCTGCTGGCTTTAGTTCTACAGGTGATTCTCAGCTGCAACGTTCCACAGATCCAATTGTGGAGCTGTTGTAGCTGCTGCAGCTGACGCTGCAGCTGCAACTGGAGCTGCAGCTACAGTTGCTGCTGCTGCAGCAGCAGCAGTAGCAGCTGCTGCTGCTGCAGCAAAAGGACGTACCAAGGAGTGATGAGGCGCTCTGTGAAGGACTCCAGCTGCTGCCGAGCTCTGACGTCTCCACAGCGGCTCCAAACACGGCTGACGCAAACTGCAGCAGCAGCAGCAACAGCAGCAGCAGCAGCAGCAGCAGCGTAGATAAGTTAAAGACTGCCTGCTAGGGGCGTGAAGGAAAAAAATAATCAATATATGCGCAGCTGCAACCAACACAGCAGCAGCAACAGCAGCAGCATTAGCAGCAGGAGCGGCAGCAGCAACAGCAGCAAGAGCAGCAGCAACAGGAGGGATGCCGCAGTTCCAGCTCCGCAGCAGCAAAAGCCACTGAAGTGCCACACCAAGAAGCAGGCACAACTGCAGCAAATCGAAAGGAGATAAAAGAATAAACAAAGAATTTGAGATAAAAGAATTGAAAGAAAATAGCTGCTGCTGCTGCTGCTGCTACTCACGGGGTACTGAAAACAGCAGCAAAGAATAGAGCCTTGCTGCCATCAGCCACACAAAAGTGCTTCCTAGGCTTTTCCATTTGCTGTTCAAAATGGGAAACTGCTCCATCAGTTTACTGCAGCCCGTAGCAGCAGCAGGAGCAGCAGCAGACCCTGCTGCCGCTGCCGCTGCTGCTGCTGCTGCATCTGGAACCGGGGGGTAAAAAGCAGCTGGCGGAGGGCAGCAGTCCCACGAGCTTGAGTACCACGCTGTGCTGCTGCTTTCCCTGAAGAGCGCCTGCTGCTGCTGCTGCTGCTGCTGCTGCTGCTGCTCGGCTGCTGCAGCAGCAACAGCAGCAGCTACTGCTGCTGTTGGGGGCTCGTAGTAAGTCAATATATGAAACAGCAGCTGCACAAGGGCCTCCCCTAAAGACAACGCCTGCAAGCTTGACAGCAGCAAGCAGCTATCGCAGCTGCATTCAGCAGCAGCAGCAGCAGCAGCAGCTGCTGCTGCTGCTGCTGCTGCGAATTCCCCGTCTGGCAGCTGCATGTGGGCCGGCTCGGGCTGGTCGCCGCCGGTTTGCTGCTGGTGCCGCCGCTGCCGCTGCTGCAGCAGCGCTGCTGCTGCTGCTGCTGCTGCTGGGCGAGTCTCCAAAGCTGCATGCAGCAGCGTCAGCTCAAAAGGCTGGGAGTCTCCGCTGGCAATTTGCGGCTCTGCTGCAGCAGCAGCAGCAGTTGCTCCTAGGGCCAGCAGCCAGCCGCGCATGCAGAGCGCAGCCTCCCGCTGCAGCTCCCACTCCTCGCTGCTGCTGCTGCTGCTGCTGCTGCTGGGCGCTGCTGCGTCGTCTTGCGGCTGCAGGTGCAGCGCCATCAGGCGAGCAGCAACCAGGTGGGTCTCCATCAGAAGAGCAGCAAAACTGGGGGCGAAGAGCTGCTGCAGCAGCTGCTGCAGCTGCTGCTGCCCCCGCACCACCATCTCTGCTGCGCAGCAGAAGCAGGCAAGCAGCAGCAGCAGCAGCAGCAAACCAAATAACGAAGGAAAACAGAAGCAGAAGCTGCGAAGCAGCAAAATAACTCGTTATTTATTTTCTGCCGGTGATACGGAAAAGACAGACACGGGCTGCTGCTGCTGCTGCTGCCGCAGCAAACCAAAAATTGCATTTTGTGTTTCAGCTAAAACTAAGTAATTTAATTAGATTAATTTAACTTTTAATAGATTATTTAAAAGCCACAAGAGGCCCTAAAGGAGACAAAAGAGACTCCTGCAGCGTCCCCACGATATCTGCTGCTTTGCTACTGCTCGTTTAGCTCCCCTGCTGCTGCTGCTGCTGCTGCTGTTGCACTTTCTGCTGCAAACCAAGTGCTTGCTTGCTGCGTCACTTCCCACTGCTGTATTTAATTAATTGATTGGCTCATTTATTTATTTACTTATTTATTTATTTACTTATTTATTTATTTATTATTTATTTATTTATCTTTTATTTATTATTATTTGCGGCTTCATTTAATTTTCTCAAGGCTTATTACCTTGGTCTTCCTCAGCAGCAAAAGAGGCTTCCGAGCTGCTGCAGTCTCCTGCCGAGTCAGAGAGTTCTCCCTCCTCCTCTTCCTGCTGCTGCTGCTGCTGCAGCTGCAGCTGCAGCTGCAGCTCGAGCTGCAGCCGGTTGCGGTGCTCTGTTGCCTCTGCTGCTTCTTCTGTCTCTTCTGCTTCTTCCTCCCCTTCTGCTGCTCTCAAAAACCTCTCCAGCAGCTGCCGTCTCTCCTCATCGCTCTGCTGCTGCTGCTGATGTTGCTGCTGCTGCTGCGCAAGTTTCCTGTCAGCAGCGCCGGCGCCCGCTGCTGCTGCTGCTGCTGCCGCGGCTGCTGCATTCAAAGCTGCGGCGCGACTCTGCTGCAGACTCTCGAGCTGACACGGTGCTGCAGCAGCAGCAGCAGCAGCAGGAGAAGTCAGCAGCAAAAAGGGAGATGAAAGCTGCCGTAAGCCCCAGGGGAAAGTATTCAGAGCAGCTAAGACGTGGGGCTGCAGCAGCAAAGATTGAATGCCCAAAAGAGGAGCAGCAGCAGCAGCAGCAGCAGCATCGCTCAGCTCGAGCTGCTGCAGTGCATGCGATAAGCTCGAGAGCAAACTGCTGCAGTACGCATGCACTCGAGCGTCTTGTTTCTGCTGCTGCTGCTGCTGCGGGGGCTGCTGCTGCCGCAACAGAAAGCTGTCCACAGCAACGGCCGCATGCACCACGACAGTAACAAGCCGCTTTGTTTGCTGCTGCTGCTGCTGCTGCTGCTTTTGCTTGTGCAGCAGCAGCGCCGCGAGCCGCAGCGCGTAAGAAACGGGAGGCAAGCAGCAGCAGGCCTCAGAGAGCAGCAAAGGAGCAGCAGCAGACAGGTGTTGCCCCAGCAGCTGCTGCAGCAGCTCTTCTGCTTCCTCTCCAGGCTGTGGGGCCCCAGTAGCAAATGCAACTACAGCCAAAGCGCACAGAGAATCGCTGAGGAACAGCTGCTGCATCAGTTGCTGCTGTTGCTGCTGCTGCTCCTGCATCTGATGCTGCTGGCGCGAACCTAAGAAACCTTTTGCTGCGGTGCAAAATAGTGTTCTTTGCTGCTGCAGCAACTGCTGCAGCTCTTGCGTCTGTTGCTTGAACTGCTGCTGCTGCTGCTGCTGGTCTTGTAGCGCCAGCTGCTGCTGCTGCAGCGACCCGGCAGCCGCAGCTGTCAGAGCAGCAGCAACTCTTGTTAGCGCAGCGCAAGCCTCCTGCGCCTTTCGAGCTTCTGCTGCTGCTGCAGTTTGTGCATTTGCTGCTGCGGTGAATTCGGCAGCTTGCTGCAGCAGCAACTGCGTGTCCCTTTCACTCCTTTCACAAACTGGGTCCGCCTGAGGTTTCGAGCCACCAGCAGCAGCAGCAGCAGCAGCAAACGCCAACCCGAAGTTGGCCGCAGCAGCGACGCACAGTGCATCAGCAGCAGGAGAGACAGAAGCAGCAACCGCCGCAGCAGCGCCGTCTCCTGCTGCTGCTGCAAGGGACTGCAGCAGCAGCTGCAGCACGCAGAAAGGCCCCAACTGCTTTTCTTCTACTGCAGCAGCAGCAGCTGGGGCAGCAGCAGCAGCCACCAGAGCCTTTACACGCAGCGTAGAGATGGCAGCAAATTCAGAGACTGTCTCCTCATATTCTTTTCGTGCTGCTGCGAGCAGCAGCTGTAACAGTGAGTGCAGCAAGTCTGTCTCCTGCTGCTGCTGCTTCTGCAGCAAATACCACACAGCTTTCTGAAACTCCTTATTTGCACACGTTAGAACCCTATGTGCCGCAGCAGCAGCAGCAGCAGCAGGTGCTGCAGCAGAAACAGCAGGTGATGCAGCGGCAGCAGCTGGAGCTGCAGCAGCAGTAGCAGGTGTCCCTGCTGCTGCTGTTGCTCCTACTGCGCATTTCCAGGGGCTGCGGTGAGTTGGGCTCCTACTACTGCTGCTGCTGTTGCTGCTGCTGCTGCTGCCTTCGCACTCAACCGCCTCCACCGTGAGGCCACACAGCAGCAGCAGCAGCAGCCCTTCCTTGGCCAATTCTGCTTCTCCACTTTCTGTCGTTTTTGCTGCTGCTGCTCCTGCTGTCGCTGCTGCTGCTGTAGCTGCATCGATTACTGAGCACAGTGCGTCGCCCGAATCAGCAGCAGCAGCAGCAGGAGCAGCAGCAGCAGTTGCTGCTGCTGTTGGGGTCGTTCTACACAGGAAGGCAACAGCTGCTCGCCAGCAAAATGCAGCGGAGTTCCATTGACCTCCGGCAGTAAAAAGTTTGCTGCTGCTGATGCTGCTGCTGCTGCTCTTGCTGCCGTCGCTATTGCCCTTGCTGCTGCTGCTACTGCTTGGCAACGTTGTCGCGAATAGCTGCAACAGCAGCACTTCGCGGAGAAAGACCAGAGCCTTTTGCTGCTGGCGCATGCGGCTCTCAGCCCCACCAGTGCTGCTGCTGCTTGCTGCTGCAAGGAAAGCTGCTGCTGCTGCCCAGCCCTCAGGTGAAGGCGCAGCAGCAGCCGCCGGTGTTGCTGCAGCACTCGCTGCTGCTGCTGCCATTGCTGTCAGCTGCTGCTTGAGCTGCTGGCGCCCAGAGGCGTCCAGCTGCTGCAACAGCTGCAGCAGCAGCGCTGTAGCAGCAGCAGGTACCTGCCAGCCCCGTATTTGCTCCCACTGCAGAGTAGCAGCCGCTTTGCAGCAAGCTGCAGCAGAGCTGCTGCTGCTGCTGCTGCTGGTGCTGACCAATACTTGCAACAATTCCGGAGAAGCAACGCCTTGTCGCAGAGTGGCTGTGCACTGACTGAGTGCAGCTGCCACATGTGCGTCAGTGCGTTGCTGCTGCTGCTGCTGCAGCAGCAACAAGGCATTCACGATTTGTGAGGCTGCATCTGCTGCCAGTGGCTGCGGCAGGGCCAGCAGCGGGGCAGCAGCAGCGGCAGTAGCAGCAGCACCATCGGGATTCCTGCTGCTGCAGGTGCTTAGTAACACATGGACCAAGTCCGGCAGCAGTTTTGAGATTGCCTGTAGCTGCTGCAGTGGCTGCTGCTGCTGTTGCTTTTGCTGCTGCTGCAGTTGATGCAGCACTTGCTGTAGCAGCAGGGGTAGCTCTCTAAGTCGTACAAGCAGCACTTTCGCCAGTGCGTCTCGTGTTGGCTCAGGCAGCACTCCTGCTGCTGTTGCTGCTGCTGCTGCTGTTGCGGCAGCTGCTTCACTTGATTCTTTTGCTGCTGCTGCTGCTGCTCCGTGTAAGCTCTGCCACAAACGGCATAACTCGCCGAGAGCAAAAGCTCCGCAGCACCACTGGCGCATCAGCTCTTGTCCAGCTGCTGCTGCTGGTGCCGCTGCTGCTGCAGTTGTTGCTGCTGCTGCTACTGTTGCTGCTGCTGCTGCTGCTGTTGCTGCTGCTGCATCGGCAGCAGCAGGGCAGGCTTCTGCTGCGTTTTCGGCTGTGAGGACAAGCGCCTCTGCAGCAGCTTTCCATGCAACAGACTGCTCCTCTGTTGCTGCTGTTGCTGCTGCTGCTGCTGGTGCTGCTGCTGGTGCTTCTGCTGCTGCTTGCAGGCGCAGCAGAGGCAGCAGCAATCTTGTGGCTACTTGCTGAAAGGCCAGGCATCTCTGCTGCTGCAGCGTTGCTGCTAGGGTGTCCTTCCCTTCAGCAGCAAATGCACTTTTCATTGTTGCTGCTGCTACTGGCAGCAGACACAGCAGCTCCTGCTGCGCGTTGAAGCGCAGGCCCTGTGGCACTGGAGGCAGCGGTGTTGCTGCTGTTTCTGCTGCTGGTGCTGCTGCTGCTGCTTCGTGCTGCAGTGCGCAAGGAAGCTGCAGGCGGGCAAGGCACCCCTCACAGGCCCTGAGAAGAGCATCTAGGGCCTTCAAGTTCTCATACGACGCGATCTGCTGCTGCTGCTGCTGCTGCTGCGGCTGGTACTGCTGCTGCTGCAGCGGCAGCGGCGCAGGCAGCGGTGTTCCGAGAAAAGTCCACTTCAAGTGCTTCCTGACCTGCTGCAGCAGTACTACAGCCAACGACCCCGCTGCTGCTTCTGCTCCTGTTGCAGTTGCAGAATCGTGCTGCTGCGGCTCCTGCTGCTCTTCTTGCTGCTGCTGCTGCTGCTGCTGCAGCTGCAGCAACAACGGCAGTGCCACAAGCTTTGCGTGCCGCGCAGCTGCCAGCGAAGCCGCAATGAGCTGCTCCTCAGCAGCAGCTGCTGCTTCCGCGCCTTGCTGCTGCTGCTGCTGCTGCTCAGGAGGCAAAACTGCAGCATAGATGTTGCGCCACAAACACTGCAACAGCAAGGGAGGCAGGCCCCTAGCAGCAGCAGCAGCAGCGAAGGTCGCAACTGCCTCGGGCAGCGCAGAAAGGCCAGCATCTGCTGCTGCTGCCTGCGGCGTCAGCCGCTCCTGCTGCTGCTGCTGCTGCTGCTCCTGCTGCTGCTCCAGCTGCTGCTGCTCTTGCTGCACACGCATTAATAACTCAAGAGGGTAACTTGGGACTTCGCAGCAATAGAACTGCAGCAGAGAAGCCAAGCCGTCCTCTGCTGCTGCTCCTGCTGCTGCTGTTTCTGCTGCTGCTGCTGCTTCCCCTTTTGCTGCTGCTTCTGCCGCTGCAGCAGGCTGAAGGCGATTTTCAATTAAGAAAATTGCTGTTGAGTAGAAGCAGCCCAAAAGCGCACTAGGGGGCGGCCAGACAGGTTGCTGCCGCTGCTGCCTCTGCTGCCGCTGCTGCTGCTGCTGCTGCTGCTTGTCGCCCTGTGGCGCCTGTTGCTTCTGCTTCTGCTTCTGCTGCTGCTGCTGCTGCGACTGCGCCTCTTGGTCTTGTAGTTCGTTCGCCTGCTGCTGCTCTTCCGGTGAGCGCAGCCTGTGGAGACCCTGCTGCTGCTGCTGCTGCTGCTGCTGCCGCTGCAGCAGCATCTCCTCCAGCGGCAGCAACAAAGCCGTGGGCAGCTGCCTCAGAAAGGCCCTGCCCTCCACAGACTGCAGCAGCAGCTGCGGCGGCAGAGCAGCAAGCAGCGGCAGCAGCTCATCGTACATAGCGCTGCTGCCGCAGTACCCTGCAGCAGCAGCAGCAGCAGCAAAAAGAGCAGCACTAGAAACAGCAATAAGACAAGATTCTAACTCCCTCAAGTCTGCAGCATCAGCAGCAGCAGCGGCTGCTGCTGCTGTTGGTAGGTGCAGTGAGAACAACAGCACGCGCGACAGCACCAAAGTAGCTGCAGCAGCAGCACCAATAAAAGCAGCAAAGGCAGCAGCAGCAGCAGCAGCAGCAAAAGAAAAGATCATACCTCCATGTCGAGCGAGGGCTAAAAGCTTGTGCAGCAAGTTCTGCAAATGTCGCTGCGGGGATTGTTTTCGTTTCTGCTGCTGCAGCTGCTGCTGCTGCTGCTGCGCATATCCATACCCCGCTGGGATGAAGCGCTGCAGCAGAAGCCTCATTGAGCGCAGCAAGAAGCCGCAAGTGCTGCTGGCGGCAGCACCAGGTGCAGCAGCAGCAGCGGCTGTTGCTGCCGCTGCTGCACCGCCACCGGCTGCTGCTGCTGCTGCTGCTGCTGCTGCTGTAGGGCCGCATAGAGCAGGAGACAGGCTAGGCCCTGCAGCAGCACAAAGTGACGCATCTGCGAGAGCCGCAGCAACTGCAGCAAAGCAGTCCTCTGCAGCTGTTGTCCCTGCTGCTGCTGCTGCTGCTGGGGAGTCCGGCAGGGGCACGCCGGCTGCTGCAAATGCTGCCAAGACAGCAGCAAGTGCTGCTGCTGCTGCTGCTCTCACCGGCAGCCTAAAAGAAGCCCCAAGAAAATGTGAAATGCGGCTGCTGCCGCAAAACAAGAACCGCAGGTCCTCTCGCCAGGCAGCAAGCCGCTGCTGCTGCTGCTGCTGCTGCTGCTGGGAAATGCTGAGGAGGCGGACCAGATCAGCAGCAGCAAAAAGCGCGCAGATGAGCTGGCGGTCGAGGCGCTGCTGCGGGGACTCGTCCAGGCGGCGGCTGCTGGCGGCAGCCTGCTGCTGCTGCTGCTGCTGCTGCTCCGGCAGCAGCAGCAGCTGCTCCAGCTCATTCAATAAGGCAGTCCTGCAGTGCTCCACCACAGCAACCCGCCTCTCAAGCCCTTTGCTGTTGCTGCTGCTGCTGCTGCTGCTGCTGTCGGTGCTGCTGCTGCCTTCACTCTTCCAGCTGCCGCTGGTCTCTGGCACGGCCTCTGCAGCAGCAGAGCCGGATTCTGCGGCTGTTTCTTGCAGCTGCGGTTGCTGCTGCTGCTGCTGCTGCTGCGGGTCTGCGAGGGGGAAGGCCTCCTGGAGTGCAGCAGCAGCAGCAGCAGCAGCAGCCCTGTGGGGATCCTGGAGAGAGCAGAGCCAGGTGGGCAGCAGCTGCTGCAGATAAGGAGCAATTCTTTTTCTTACTCTGAGCAGCAGCAGCAGCAAACAGCGGTTTGCTGCTGCTCTGTTTTGGCCCTCGCCGTCGCCCAGGGCTATGGAGCGGTAGGCAAAGACTAGCTGCGGCAGCAGCAGCGCAGCAGCAGCAGCATCCAACTCGTGCTGCAGCTGCTGCTGCAGCGCAGCAAGCCCTTTGCTGCGGGTGAGGCTGTCGCGCTTGGTGAGGCGGGTTAGGGCCACGTGGACATCAGCAGGCAGTGCTGCTGCTGCTGCTGCTGCTGCCGCTGTTGCTGCTGCTGTTGCCGCTGGCACGGCCGGGGGAGGGGTGCCGAAGCCGCCATAAGGCCTCTCCTCAGCGCTCCAGGTGCTGCTGCTGCTGCTGCTGCCCTGTCTTGCTGCTGCTGCTGCTGCTGCTGAGGCAAAAATCGCCTCCAGCTGCGTGCTGCCGCCGAAGCTGATGTTGCCAATGCTCAGGGCCTCGCGGGCGCTGGAGGCGGGGGCCTTCTGGCGCCTGAGCTTCGGCTTCTGCTGCTGCTGCTGCTGCTGCTGCTTCGGGGGGGATTTCGGGGCCATCGTGGCTGCTGCTGCTGCCGCCGATGCTCTGCTGGGTTACAGGCAGCAGCAAGAGCAAACGAGATACGTTGGGGTATAAGGCTTTGGCCAGATAACAAAGCCGCTAAGTATCCGCTAGCAGCCTAGCAGCAGCAACAGCAGCAGCAGCAGCAGCAGCATGCAGCTGGCGGAGGGCTGCTGCTGCAGCAGCTGCGAAAGAAGAAAAGGACTATCTGCAAGTGTCCCAAATAATAAAAAGGTATTTTTTACTTTTTGTCTAAAATTAAATTCCAGAAAGATAAAGTAAAAGGAAGAAATATCAAGCCGCAGCCGCCGCAGCTTTGCTGGGGCTGGGGGGGTTGTTGTCCGGAGGCGGTTGTCTGCTGCTGCACCAGCAAAAAAAAAATAATTTAATTTAATTTAATTAATTCAAATTTAATGCATTTTGCAAAACCAAAGAAAGAACTTCGCGCAGAACACACCGCAGCGCCGCCGCTGCTACTGCTGGCGTTTGCTGCAGCTGCTGCTGCGTGTGTGCATTGAATTTAAAAGCAAAATATTCAACTGTTTTAAAATGCAATTTTCAATTTATTTGAAATTAATGTTTAAATATGATAAACTTTCAAAATGGTGTTTTGAAAAAACTCCCCCAATCCCGGTGTATGTACACCAGCACGAGTTGGGTGCATCTGATACACCGCAGCAATGAGAGCATTTCTGCTTTAAATAAATGCAAAAGACATCTTTAAAATTAAAAAAAAGAAATAAAAACATAAAAGTAATTAGATAAAAGCAAAGATGTTAGCAGAATTGATAGATCCCAGCCAAACACCCGAAATAAAACAATTCTGCAAACTTACTGCCACTGACTGTTTTTTATTTCTTCTCTTTTGTTTTTGAGTAAATTTGCAACGCATGCATTGTGAGACATATAAGTGTCAAGAGAGCCATTTGCTGCTTTTGCTGCTGCAGCAGCAGTAGCAGCAGCAGCAGAAGCAGCAGCAGCCGCAGCAGCAAATATGAAATAAGTGGATGCACGCATATTAGTGAAATTGTCCATAAGTTGCATGCATGCGTTTTAACGACAATTCTTTTAGTAGCATTCATGCAGAACTCTTGCTACTTTAAAGCATTTGAATAGTTTAAATAATTTGAATGAATGATTTTAATGAACTCTGACAAATATTTTACTTATGAGCAGCTTGGTGTACATAAACCCGAATTTGCGGGACTATTTTCGGCCTCTGTCAATGCATGCAATAAATGTATATACATATATAAATATATATATATTTAGACATATTTATATATACATATATGTATATATATATTTGTGTAGAAATATTTATAATGTATATGTTTATATTATATATTGAAAAACTACTCTAAAGACTCTTTATATAAATATCTAAGACTGTCTTTTTAATTGTATATTTGAAGGCAAGGTTTAACTTTTTGTAAGTTACCTAGTCTCTCGTTTCTCCCAAACAAGTAAATACTTGTATATTTACTTGATTAAATACATTATTGCTATATAAGATAAATTTAATTGTTTACATATATTCTTTTGTATAATATATTATTAAATACACTCTAATTTCGCTGCCTGCAGTGTCTATTCAGGTGTACGTACACCTGAAAACGCAGCACATGCACTCAAAGACACTCAAATGCATTTGCATGCGAGTTTATTTTTCTTGTTTTTGTCTCCGCCTCAAAACAAAGTCAAAAAGGATTATTTAAAACCGCCGCGCTTGAGGTGTACATACAGCTCTTCAGATCCTGCTGCGGTCCCTTAGGGGGCCCCACACAAGCTCAGAAAACCCCGAGAAGCCCCGTAGTGGCCCCGCCGAAGGGGGGCCCCTAGGGGCCCCTGGGGGCCCCCCGGGGTCCCCCGAGGTCCCCAGGGGCCTCCGTCTAGCATCTCCTGTGTGGGTACCCCTTTGGGTCTGAGGTGCCCCTGGGGGCCCCCGAGGCGTGGGGGGCCCCTGGGGGCCCCCGGGAGTTAAGGGCTGGTTTGAGGTGTAAATACACCGCAAATGCATGCAGTGAGGCTACTGGGGCGCGGAGAGTTTGGGGGGTTTGGAAAGAATTGGAAAGAAGAGTTTTACTTCAAAAACGAATTGGAATTTGGAGTATTTGATCAATGATTTGTAGCAGTTTGAGTGGCTGCTGCCGTACGGCTAGAGGTGGGTGCGGCGCTTCATATAATGCAGAAGACCAGATTTGGATAATTTGCTTCAAAACAACACAAAATGGATTATTATTTTCCACATTGGATTTAAATTGCACTTCAAGAAACATTTGAAAGCAGCGTGCACGCAAATGCGCGGGGTGCGCCTTTTTCGGGTGTACGTACACCCCAACTGCACGCGGCCGCGCAGCAGTCCGCAGGTGTACGTACACCCCAACTGCACGCGCCGGTGCAGCAGTTCGCAGCCAAATGGCGCAGCCAAGGACTTACCTTTGAAGACAAATACAATTAAAGTTCAATTGATGCAACTTCTTCTCCAAATGCACCAAATGCAGCCACAAACAACGCAAATCTACTACTGCATCAAAGGCAAAAAGCCAAAAAGACTCTTTTGCACGCATTTCCGAAAGGCGCCTCACGGGCTGTCCACCGCTGGGGTGTCTGTACACCCCAGCTCCCGCCCCACACCCTCTCTCCCCCTTCCCTTCTCTGCATGCAGCCCCGAGACGGAAAGAACGCCATTAGCTTCTTCTGCTTCCACTCCCTGGCTGCTCAGCAGCACCGCTTTCTGCTGCTGCTGCTGCTGCTGCTCCGCCTCCTTGCTGCAGCCCGCCTGCGCGCCGTTCGCCGCGCCCTCTGCCTTCTTCTCCGCTGCAGCAGCAGCAGCTGCAGCAGCTGCTGCCGCTGCTTCGGCAGCAGCAGCAGGGGGCCCTGCGAAGAAGGCCGCGGCGTCAGTGGGGCCCGCAGCAGCAGCAGCTGCTGCTGCTGCAGGCAGCAGCTTTGCGTCGCGGAGGGCGTCAGCTTCTGCTGCCTCTGTTTTGGAGCTGTTGCTGCTGTCGGCTTGTAGCAGAGGCAGCCCCAAGTCCTTTGCTGCTCGTTTCCTCTTGACGCATGCGCCGCCGCTGCCGGCCAGCGCCGCGCCGCTGCTGCTGCTGCTGCTGCTGCTGCTGCTGCTGCTGCTGCTGAGGAGCTGGCGGACGACGGGGCTGACGTGGAGCGCGTGCTGGACGTTTCTGAGCGCCGCTGCGGACTCGAGGCAGCTGGCGACGTGCTGCTGCTGCAGGTGCACCTGCTGCTGCTGCTGCTGCTGCTGCTGCTTCTGCTGGTACTGGCTGACAGCCTTGATGGCCAGCCGCCGCGCCCCGTAAAAGCCAAACTTCGAAACTGGAAAAGACCGACACATGCGGGCCCCCGAGCCCATGCTGCCGTAGGCCATCCAGGTGTTGTTGCTGGGGGCGTAGCAGACGCCTTTGGGGTTTCGCAGTGCAGCAGCAAGTTGCTGCATCTCCGCGCGCGACAGCTGCTGCTGCTGCTGCTGCTGCTGCTGCGGGGGGGGGGGCGCGGCCGCGCTGCTCGCCTCCTCGTTCTCGTCAAATCCGCACGAGGGGGGGCCCCCGCCCTCCACAGCCCCGAACAGAGCGGGGCCCCCGCCGCTGCTGCTGCTGCTGCTGCTGCTGCTGCTGCTGGGCGGCTTCAGGCCCATCAGCCGGCAGGCCTCCGCGGCGGTGAGCCCCGCGGCGGCGAGGGCGGGGGCCCCCGGGGCGAGCGCGGGGCCGCCCGCGCTGCTGCTGCTGCTGCTGCTGCTGCTGCTGTTCCTGTGGGTGCGCTCGTCAAAGGACTGCCGCGCTGCTATGGCCATCAGTCTTGCTGCTTCTGCTCCGAACTTTTTGTTGCTGAAGGACTTATAATTCTGTCTTCCATTTTCGCACCAGAAGGCGACCCAGCTGTTGCGGTCTTTGGCGAAGCGGACTCCGGGCATTGGCGCGGTGTTCACGTGTCCCGCTGCTGCTGCTGCTGCTGCTGCTGCTGCTGCTGAGCCCTGCGCCGCAGCACACCCAGCGCCCGCAGCAGCAGACGGGTAACCTGACAGCTTCGACCTCTTCCGCGGCAGCGGGGCTTCCTCTGCATGCAGCGGCAGCAGCGCGCAGGACTCCGAGTCCAGCACTTGCTGCTGCTGCTGCTGCTGCTGCACCTGCTCCTGCGGCGCGGCCACGGAAGGGTCCAGCAGCGGCAACGAGCCGCTCCAGTCGGCCGCTGCTGCTGCTGCTGCTGCCCCCAGCAGCTGGCTGCTGCTGTCGCTGCTGCATGCAGAGAGGGCCCCCGGGGGCCCCTCGGGGCCCCACGAGTTCAGCTTCTTCAGCACTTTTGCTGCTTGTGCTGCTCCATTTGTGTCTCCAACTTGTCTTGACAACATGTCCATTAAAGACAAAAGACAAGCAGCAGGGGCCTCCTGTTCTCCCGCCAGCATGCATGCAGCAACGTCGCTTGCGCTCAGCAGCGGAGAGTCTGCTGCTGCTGCTGCTGCGGACCCTGCTGCTGCTGCTGCGGGGCTCGCCGCCGCTGCTGCTGTCGACGGCAGCGCCAAAGTGGCAGCAGCAGCCGCAGCAGACAAAGGGGAGTAGCCCTGCTTCGAGGGCAGCAGCAAAGGGTCGGGGGGCCCCCCGAGGGCCCACGAGATGTTTCTCTGAGCCTCTTGAATTTGCTGCTGCACCTGCTGCACCCCCCGCAGCAGCTGCTCCAGTTCTGCTGCTAGTTTCTGCAGCGAGTGCAGGGACAGGCTGCTGCTGCTGCTGCTGCTGCTGCTGCTGGAGCCCTCCTTGGCCTCCTTCGCCTCCGCCGCAGCTGCAGCAGCAGCTCTTGCGCCCGCGCCATGCCTGTCGCCCAGGGCCTTGCTACGGTCTGCTGCAGCAGCAGCAGCAGCTGCTGCTGCTGCAGACACAGAAAAGTTCAGAGAATCTGGAGACACATCTTCTGTGGGGCAGCGAGTTGAGGCCCCATCTGTCATTGCTGAAGCTTCTCGAGAAGCAACAGAGACAGGGGGGCCCCCTGCTTCCTCCCTTGCGGAGACGGGGGGCCCCCCGGGGGCCCCCGGGGCCCCGGAGGCCCCCGGGGCAGCCTTGCTGGG